AAATATTGTGTATTTAGTGAAACACACGACGTAAGGAAATGGTTAGTTTTCTACAACACTTGTACAAAAGAACGGTTGAGCATCTCATCGGAATTTATGATAATTTTGACCTAATAGGAAGCAGTAAACCTATGGAAAATTAATTGATCAATTAGATCGCAGTTAAACTTACAACTGCTTATACGACATGATGATTTTGTTTTCCATTTCCGTTATGTACAAAATATGGCATTTTAGTGTTTGCAAGGCAACGATGAGAAAACATTTTTATTTTTTTTACGTAATAACGATTTTTAGAGGTCATTATTTCAAACAATAGAGTAAAGAACAAAAAAGGTCTATGTTCATATGAATTTAATAATGAAAAAAAAAAAAAACTGTTACCTCATGCATTAATACAAACAAATTAAACAACGAAATTTTTTCGGTATTTAGATACTATAAAAAGATGGAAATTATGATTTGATTTTGATTGAATATACTACTTAGAATTTTCTCACATTTACGGCAGAGTTTAAACGTTTGAATCATGTAACATCATGCAATAATATACGGTCAGCTCATAACCTAGAAGTTAATACGACTTGAAACTATTATATAAAACGAATTAATCCAATAATATCAAAAGATTGAATTTTATGCGTTTAAGATTGAGATGAGACACGTAGTTCTCATTAGTATTCAGTTATATAATTGTTAGGTACCCATTTTCTTAATATTATCATTAGACAAATTATAACAATATATGATTTAACTATTTTCTAAAGTTATCCACCGTAAAATACTGCTGTAGCTCTGTTAAAATATGCTTATGAAAAAAAAATATTGCGTCTGCTTCATATGAATATGGAGCAAATATAAATTCGGTATGAGATCAAGCTGAATTTCAATGCTTTCTGTTCGTTCATGGTCTTTTAAAATGCCGTTCATGTGATTTAATTTTTTAAATACGGAATTTTTATTAAATACGAAACTGAATTTATTATAATTTTCGAACACTCAATTTTCTCCTTAGCCACAAGGACAACAATTTCATTCAGTGTTATAAATATATAATTGCCATTTATATAAATTAATTTGTTTTTTATATTAGAATTATTTAAAATATTTTTACATTCATCAATGACCACACATTCGCAATCAATTTATTTACATTCGGGTATTCTAGTCTGGCAACTTCTGAAACCCTGTTTAAAGCAGGTGCGAATGTTTTTTCAGATACGAAATGGGAATGTAAGTAGGTTTGTCAATAAAAAAGTAATTAGTACCGCAGTTAATAAACTTTTAAATATTATATAATCGATAGTGTTGAGGAGATTAGCTCTCTTGACGAAAATTTTTTGTTGTTTCCGCCGGTGTACTGCTGTACCACATAGATCAATAATTGATTACACAGAATATAAAACTCGAAGGACCAGTGTATGTCGATTAAAAAGATCCGTACTGTATAATACGTTTAATAATGCTATAGGTATATACACACTAATTAACTAGAACTAATATTACTTGCTACTCAAAAAGATGTTTGTTGCTTGTTTGATAGTCCGAAATCCGAATTGATCTGATGTTATTGATACAATCTGAAAGTGTTTTTGTGTCTTAAAACTAAACACACCTCGGCCACTACCCCTAAATTTCCCCCAGTCAATACCTACCTAAACAGTCCGTACGCAGGTTTACACTACACAATAATTGTATTATATTATGGTACCCTTTTTGGTATCAAGGGGTTAATACAGCAGGTAGGAACGATAAGTCTTAACAGATAGGTAATAAGTGGAATTTTAGCAAAATATGCATTTATTTTAAATTTGGAAAGTATTAGAAATATGTTTGCATTATATACATTTTGCACATAATCGGAACTCTAATAATTATCACATTATCAGCTATTCCACGCATTTTTATACTGATATCAACTTTGGTGTCTGTATCTAGTGAGTATTATTGTTTTATCTGTGTACCTACCTCTGAATTTAATAAATTATTTATTTTAGTCGCATTATTAGCTATCATGACAAATTTAATGCTAACCAGGTATCCAATTGCAAGAGCGAGCAGTGATAAAGCAATGACCGGCAAGAACAGTTATGATTTTTTCTTTTAGAAGAACACGCTAAAGTGTTTTTATTTCCAAAGAATAAATTTTATTTACCTTATGAATGACTAGTGCTCAATCGTTATTCCTGTCTGAAGTGCATACGTTTGCACTACCCAAATCACTTATAAGCAACTGAAAATATATTCTTTTTATTAATGTTTTAAAGCGTCAGTTTTTGTTATTAATTTTCGCAAAAAACTTTTGTATCAGTATCTTGCTTTTTTGTTTTTCTTACAACCGTACAAACCTACAATGCTGAACCTGATCTTGAAATGACGCAAAACAAGTTACAGGTTACAGGCCTGTGGATTCAGGAACGCCACGGGGGAAAGCCCCACGTTACCATTTACACAACAAATTAATGCTGTAAATCTATGTAAAAGATTCTTAAAATTTGGAAAAAGGATATCTAATAGAAAACACGTCAAACGTATCTATTTTACGACGCATAAGTAAGACAGAAACAAGAAAATTAACAAAGCCAAATCATATATATTTATTGTAACCGGTTGGTCAATTGTTTAAAGATACTGTCAGTCTAATGGTGTGTTGGCGAAATCTTTTAAAGTATAAACCTTAAAATTAAGACTCACATATTATGGTTAATGGTATAGTAAAGTTCAAGAAAAAACTATAATTTTGTTAATTTAAATACATCTGCATGCATTACTACATACACGCCATAAAATATCTACAACTGCGACATGTAGTGAAGGAGTATGTCTGACAGATACAAATCGTTAATGAAAAGATATCACTTAACATTTTAACAATACCGAAAAATGGCGACTGGTTGCCTTCTTCAGTTCTCGTTTGATTTCAGTTTTTTTTTTGTTGGCTGTTCAGTGTTTTAGTTCACTGTCTAATTTGTTACTATTTAATGCAAATCTGTTGCTAACGTTAATTGGCAAAACGAATACCTGTCACATTTGTGAGTATTATATTGGGTACTTACTTAAATTTACATGATTATTAAAAGCTAAATCGTTAGATAAGCTGGATAGTCAACCTTGAAACTAGAAACAAGAGCTCATTATGCTACTTCTGGATATTTTTTTTTTTAAAAAACATCTGAAATACTTATACCTACCTATCAAACATTTATGTGAGAAATAAACTGTACTAAGTTTTAAAACAGACAGGCAATTTGTAAATGTGTGTTAATTGAATTTTGTGGCATTAATATACGCTTTAAAAACCTACAAGAGCATTTCAAAGTCGTTTCAAATATAATACCTACATAAAACAAGTATGAATGAACCAGATCGTCAAGTATCTAACGAAATAATTATGTTTTATTGTAGCATAGATTCACCGAATGAAAAGTAAAATATAACCCTACTGACTGTTACATAATTTATTCACAATAATTGAAGAACAAGTAAATATGTATCTAAACAGTTCCTTTTTAAATTATTTTGTTTATTATTAATATAAAAATTCATTTAGTTTTTATCCACTACAAATTATTCCAAAATAATGGGGGTGGGGAACGTTATTAGGTCACATATTCGTCAAATTAATGTATATATACAGTGTAATGTGTAATCCATTAAGCGCGAGTTATATATAGCGATTTAATTTAATATAGGGTTGTTCGGAAAGTCATTTTGTTTTTTCCCGACAGAGGATTTAATTGTATTCTTTTGCACCCAACTTCACATTTAAGCTGTATAATTTTTATATGCTTTGAGAGCTCATATAGCAAGGCTTGTGTGTGAAAAATTCCAATTAATTCTACGCGGTAGTTTTTGGTTGGTGCCCTTTTAAATATGGAGAGCGATAAGCAGCATTTTCGACATATCTTACTGTTTTACTACAGAAAGGGTGAAAATGCTATTCAAGCCAGAAAGAAATTGACTGATGTGTATGGAGAAGGTGTGTTGACAGTACGCCAGTGCCAGAACTAGTTCGCTAAATTTCGATCCGGCAATTTTGATGTCGAAGATGCACCACGTTCGGGAAGGCCGGTTGAAGCTGATAAAGAAGCGATAAAGGCATTAGTTGATGTGAACCGGCGTATAACAACTCGTGAGATCGGATTGAGGTTAAATTTATCAAATTCAACAGTTTATGACCACTTGAAAGGCCTGGGATTATCCTCGAAGCTCGATGTATGGGTTCGGTGTATGTTCTCACAGAGAGAAATCTGTGTCGCCGCATTGACGTCTGCGATTCGCTTCTCAAACGTCACGAAAATGATCCGTTTTTGAAGCGCATCATCACTGGGGACGAAAAATGGGTTGTATACAACAACGTCAAACGCAAGAGGTCATGGAGCAAAAAAGATGAACCGGCTCAAACCATTTCCAAAGCCAATATTCACCAAAAAAGGTAATGCTGTCTGTTTGGTGGGATTTTAAAGGAATCGTTTTTTTTGAGCTTTAACCGGATAACACAACGATTGATTCGGAATGAATGATGCACTTCAACAGAAAAGGTCAGAACTAATCAACAGGAAAGGTGTAGTGTTTCACCAAGACAACGCGAGATCTCACACAAGTTTGGTCACTCGCCAAAAGCTTGAATGGGATACAATGCTACACCCACCATATTCTCCAGACCTGGCACCATCGGATTATTATTTGTTCCGGTCACTCCAAAATTTTTTAGATGGTAAAACCTTCACCTCAAATGAGGAGGTCAAAAACCTCCTCGATCAGTTTTTTGCCAGCAAAGACCAAAAATTTTATGAGCGTAGAATTATGCTACTACCAGAAAGATGGCAAAAGGTGTTGGACCAGAACGGTCAATATATAATTTAATAAGGTATTTGTTTATTATACGAAAACTGTCTTTCATTTCCACAAAAAAAAACGAAATGACTTTCTGAGCAACCCTATACAACGGTGATTATAAATTAAATCGGTAATAAGTTCAGGTACCTAATATCACTTACCTTTGACATTTGACTATAACTGCTCACCAGGGTCGGACGAGGATTAATGCAGAGATGGAAAACCACTAGAAGAGAATAAATAGGAAATTTTTACATTTAACAACCAAAGAACAGGGCAGTTTAAATTTTAAGACCAAGTGTATGACTTACATAAAGTGAAAATAGATCTTGGATCGCTATTGGGTTAGGTCAGTGAGCAATTAAATGCTACTTAACTCTGTTTACTGCTAGTTATCTCTGTTGAGTGTAATGAGTAATTTTTTATGTAAATTAGAAATTTTGTAAAGGAAATGGTTCATATTTACTTATCTGTACATTGTTGGACACTAAAAATTATGATTAAATTAAATTTACTTGTCATATTCTACATCTTATCTGTTCATTTGTAGCTTCCCTCCCATTTATACATATACACTCTGTTTAACAATGTCCAAAAATCATTGATTGGTTCAACCTGCGGTACATTTGGGGGATTATCGGTTTTCGTCACAACAGGTATATAGTTGATTTCTCACCACGTTCTAATTGTATAAAGGCAAAATGCTAAGTCTAGTCAAAACATTTGATCGAGTGGATAAGTCGTATTAATAAACTGGAGCAACTCCGATAAGAATTTTTCGGTATAAGTGTTGACATTCTGCTTCATCCCTCACATACCTCGGTAGTGATGAGCAAAATTAATACTGGTCTTGCACCAAGACCAACACTGTCTTTATACTAGCAAGACCAAGACAAAAATTAATACGAAATATGCTAGACCAAGACCAAATACTCTAGACTAAACCAAAAATTATTACAAACCAAGCCAAGACCAATACTAAGACTGGCGCAGTCTTAGTCTTGCTTTGGTCATCACTAATGTTCGGCTTTCAACTCATCACTAATTTATGTTAAAAGAATGTGTATAAAAACGGCTAAAATATTATTGTTATTTAGCTGAATTCATTACCTAACTAGAAATTGGAAAAGAACAAACCGCAATAAAAAAAGTTGGATTCATTTATCTTTCTCTCTATTTATAACTCATTTACAAATTATAATTTTATTCCAAAGAAAAGCTGCAAAACTACGTATTGTAACGAACTTGAATTCAAATAACACGTACACTCACTAAATATGACTTATCAACACAATAGTAAATAAACCATTACATATTGCTATGTGGTTATTTTAAATCTTATACAATTAATTTTCATTTTTAGTCTAATACGTTTTTTGCTGATCACATAAAAGCAGGAACTACGCCGCGAGAAAGAAGAACTGACGTCTTTTAGATACTTACAGCAAAATAATGTTTTTGGGGCGAATGACTTTTATCAACTTTTCACGAGTTCGTTATAGAGCGTTTTAAAACGCATGTATATATATACGCATTGAGAAATACAACGCAGAATAGTTGGATTGCATCGTCAAAATACAATTATAGTTAAGCCGTTGACTAGAGTCGCAAAAGCAATAAAAGTGTCATTTAAAGGGACTTACTTACTCCCGACTAGAATTTTGAGGGAGATGCAGGTAAGGTCCTAAGTGGGTAGGGGTGAGGTTGCCTCCAGGGCAGGGAAGGGGCATATAACGCTTTGCCGCATTTGAGCATCATCAGGAATGCCGCATGTGGCCCCTGAGGGAAGGCAATATTACTACCCCATTAAAAATTTTTGGACAAATGAACTTTATAATTAATGAAAAAAA